AGTTCAGAGTCTTAGCCTATCCTGTCCCTCAACTCCATTGATGATCCTGTCACCCTAGACTTTTCTTTCTGTCCCTGCCACAACCCAAGATCTCCTACTTCCACAGGATTGCAAGTCAGCTGCTTATTTGAGATGCTGACACACACACTGACCCCACCCCAGCTAAGCCAATCACCTTCTCCTGCGTGTTCAGGACTCAGCTTGAAGTCCGGCAGCCTTCCTGGATAGGATCTACCTTTTTCCTCCCTGAAGGTCTCCCGCTAGAGGCCGGATCATTACGTGCTGGATTTKCTCACCCACTAGGCTCCATGCACCATGACCAGGGCCATATCTTGTTCAATCTSAGCCTCTCTCTTCTTGGCACAGAAATCCTCATGTTAGCCACCCAGCCCCAATGTACTGTCCCTGCCTCACCTCACCATGCCTCTGAAACTCAGTATGTTCTACCACATTTACCCTCTACCCTAACCTTGGCACTTGCTGCACCTGATGCTAAGCCCTCTTCTTCTCCCATGTCTCTGCCTGGCTGACCCCCCTCAGATCTCCCCCTGATCACTAAGTGCAGAGGGAGGGGGGCTGGGTGTTGTTACCCACCACTGGATGAAATGATCAGGCTGTTTTGGTTTCCTCTTTGAGGGTCTTTCTCTTCCTCTTCTCTGGCTTAATGCAGGTTCTTGGCAAGCAGAAAATTTCTCTGGCTCACTACAAAAGCCCCAGCACCTACACCATAGAGTAGGTGGCCATAGGTATGTGCTGGCCAATGAGGAAATCAGGTGCTCAGGACACGTTGGCTTGAATGAATGTCTGAAGTGAAACAGGCTCTGCCTGGAGCTTCTCCCTCTTCATTTCCCTTCTCTAGACAATTCCCAAGCCCAATCAATCCTGACTCTGACAAGCAAACACAGCCCCAGGCTCTGGGGACTCAGGGAGGGGACACTGACAAGGCAATGAAAATGACGACAGGCCAGATCCTGGGGCCTGGCAGCTGTGGGTCTCCTCCCTGAGCCAGCTGAGCCCAGGCTGACTGAGAGCCAGGCTCGCGTTGCCGAGGGCACACAAACAGGGCCAGGCCCTGAACCCTGAGAGAACAGAGACGCCCTCTCCTGACTCTGCCCTACAGGGGCTAGAACCCAGCTTGGCACTCCAAGCTGGTGACAGGTGGGACCAAAGAAGGCCAAAGGAACCCAATATGAGCCCTGTCACTTGCCCTCCCCCTGACTCAGGAGCACTCTGCCATCTCTTCCTTATCAATCCCCAGCAGTTTTTACAGGGCACCGAGCAGGCCTGCCCTCCCACCCAATCCCTCACTGACCTGACATGTGCCCTTGGAGGGCAAGTCTTCCTGCTGCCAGACTCCAGGCCTTTATCCCCTGACACTGATGGCAAGTGAGTGACTAAATTGGCCAAAAATAAAAGTCCTATAAATCTGATATTTTGCTTTAAGCTGTCGGGTACACAGGGTGTGCTGGGATTATTGATAGAAAAGTTTATGGATGGGCTGCATCTTAAAATCAAAATACATTACCCAAAATCAATGTTGCTGTACGTGGTACAGGGAGGACAGGAAAGGTCAGCCGAGACAAGAATATCGAAACCCCAACTCCAAAAGGACCTGAGCAGTAAAATAAATAAATTTTGAAAGTGAGTTCCAAGGAACGACATCTTCACTTAGGGCTGTAATTTAAGGGCGCTTTCACAAGTGACTGGGCAGGCTTTTTCTAAATAGTGCTATTTGAGGTACCTCTGAGAGCCCTGCGAAACCGTCCACAAAATGATATTGACAAGCGCCACGCATCCCAACTCCAAGCCCAACAAGAGCAGTGGGTGATGGCAGGAAAGTGACAGGGCACTGAGGCCGGACACACGGAAACCAGGGCAAGCCAGGAGCAAGCCCAAACCTGGGCCAGATAAACTAAAACCCCACTGGTCACATTATAGGAGTATTCACTACCAGATCCCTTTACACAATGACCCCACAGGCATTTCAGAGCTGTGCCTGGAGGGAGAGAAGGAGGATAAATGCTTGTCACCACCCACTGATGAGCAATCAGGTCTGGAAATAAGACAGTTGTGAACTGTGCTCACAAGTCTATCAGCAGGAAACCCGTTTCACTTCAGGAAAGCAAGATTCACTCTAAACAGGGTATCTCTGTGGGAGTCCAAAGGACATTTGCAGTTGGTAGGGCTGAATAGCTCTATCCCCAGAGAGAAGCATCCCTTTGGGAGAAGCAACACTCCACCACAGACACCTTCTTCTAGAACCTCCAGCTGAGAGACCACCAGGATGTGTGAAGAGGGAGCCAGCTCCTCCCAGGGAGTGGGTGGCCAGGCAMTGGCAAGGTCCAGTGGGAACCACGGCCTGGTTTCAGCATCCTGATCCTCCAACTGGCAAAAGGACTGAGTCAAAATCCCTGCCCTGCCCACAGGAAACCCTAGCAAAAGGGGATAAAGTGCCCCTTCCCCAACACCCCTAACAGTGCTCCTAGTTTAAACATTTACTGGGTCTAAAGATGGATCAGACCCAGATAGGAGTTAAGGACACAGAGAAGAAGGTCCAACAGCTGCCTGCASAGGTTACAAGAGGGGACAAAAGAGCAAACAGCCCCTTTCCATACAGCTGAATGGTCAGGGAAGAGACTGCAAGGCTCTATCAGGATGCCCCTGACTGCCCTCAGTCCAAGGCAGGAAGCCCTGCTCTCTTCACCAACTCCAGGTGTGGGGACCACAGTCCTACCTGCAGTAGGGAAGAGCTGGGTGTTTTTGGTTAAGAACAAGGACCTCAGAGTAAAACAGACCTGGATGGARGTCTCACTTGGCCCTTACTAGTTGTGTGAACTCAGGGAATTTTCATAAGCTCTCTGAGCTTCAGCCAAATCACCCATAAAATTAGGTGAAATCACAATGTCTCCCCTACAGGGCTGATACTGGGATAAAATGACAACCCCATTCATGCACTCATATTTACTGAGCATCTATTCTGTGCCAGGCCCTGTTGTAGGGGCTTGGAGATGCATCAGGGAACAAAGCAAAGAGTTTTATRAACCTTGAACAAGAAACACAATGAATAATTGTACAATACTTTGGAAGGTGAAAAGGGAGATGTGGATGAGAAGTTGGGACTGCTGGGCAGTAAGCTGCAGATTGCAATATTAAATATGTAGACCAGGTGGGGCCTCATTGAGAAGGTGACTTTCTGGAAAAAAAAAAAAAAAGCAGAACATAATGGGGTTAGCCAAGCAGGTGAAGCAGGTGGTTGGGGGAGGGGCATCCAAGCCAGATGGTATAGTTGGTGCAAAGACCCTAGGGTGGGAGCATACCCAGTATATTGCATTACAGAAAGGAAGACAATGTGGTGAGAGAAGTGTGAACCAGAGAGAGGATAGAAAACACAAAGAGGTGAAGGCAAAGGAGAAAGCAGGGATTGGAAAGGTGAATCACTTGACCTTGTCAAGCCACTGGTATTTATGCCAAGTGAAATAGGAACCACTGAAGGGTTTTGAGCATAGGAAAGTAATGTGATTTCTGTTTGAGAAGGATATCAGTTGTCCTGTTGAGAACCGAAGCGTGGAAAGTGAGTGGCCAGTTGTCTGCTACATGAAAACCATGTGATATTATATGGCTCTTACTCTTACTAATAAAAATAACCCCGTCATGCCATGGGCAAGAAACAACTTACCCCACAAGGTGATACAGACATAGAAGATCCACAAACCCTAAAAGTAATCAAGACATGACTCCCTCTAGCTGCAGGAATTCTCCCCTTGCGCATCCCTGATCACTGGTCATCAGTCTTTGCTTGGAGGGGTCCTGCTTGGATCTGGAGAGGAGACTGCAGCTCCTTCAGGCAAGCCACTGCACTGTGAGCTAGCTCTTGCCATGGGAATCCTGTTTGTAATTAGTCCCCAAATGAAATCTGCTTTCCTAGAATTCCACTATGGTCCTGAATCTGTGTGGCACAGTGCAAGTCTGCCCCCTCCCTTCAGAAGCTGAGGACAGCAATGGGCCCTGCAGGGTCTTACATTCATCAAWCCATAGTGGTTTCTAGGGGCAAATGGAATTTCCAAGGGAAAGCTGGTAAGTGGCACAGTGACAGAAGGAGTTAGCAACTGCATCTTTGGAGACCCTAGGAGGGACTTTGGTAACCAAGGGCTTAATAGATGAGCAACAGTGACCCGGGGTATAGAAATGACTCCTTGGCCATAGATGAGGAAACTGAAACCCAGGCCCAGGAAGGAGGCAGGGCGATGCCCAGGGGCACCCCTCTGGCAAGGACAAGGCTTAGAAAGAGCTTGCAGCTTCTTCCTCTTGGAGGCTGTGCCCCTGGCAGCCAGGACCAGGGTGGCTGCTGGAAAGTATTTTCCCTCTGGTTTCCTTCTCCTTGGCTCTCTGGGAACCCTCTGGCGGTGCCTCCCCGGAGACTAGTGAGTAGGAAAAGCAGATACAGAATCCACTAGGTTGCTGCACCCCAACCTCGGGTCAGGGCTGCAGGACAGGGCTGGGGCATTGACAGAGAAACTGAAATCCACTGGCTGGGGACTCCCAAGAGGWAGGAGAATAGACCCATAGACCGGGACTATGTACCCGGTCCCAACCATATGTCAGCCCTATATTTCCTTTCGGGGACCAGACCGCACTCCCTCAGATGTCTGAGGAGATGGCAGGCTCCGATGAAGTCTGGGGGAGACCGGGATGCAGGGGCTGCAAGAGCGGGGGATGGGCCCCAGGATAGCGGCTGTGGACTCGACCTCTGCCTCCCGTCTCCCGGATCTCCCTTTGCACTGAGTAAAGAGGGGGTAACCGCTGGCTAGGAACGTGCGGGTACGCAGGGACCGGCTATCGAGGGACAAGAACCCCGCCCCCGCCCAGAAACCTCCCGAGCCCTGAGTCGTGCCCGGCGCTCCCTACCCCACCCCACCCCCGCCGCCTCTGCCGTCACTCACGGCCGCTGCTTGCTGGCTCGCTGGTGCGCTCTCCGCGCCACAGGCACCTGCTCGCCGGGCGCTGTGCGCTCACTCTCGCTCACACACTGCAGACTCTCGGCGTCGCCGCCGTCACCCGGCCTCATCCCCTGTCCGRCACAGCGCTCCGCCCTTCTCCCAGGCCCCCGGCGCCCACCCACCCGCCATGTCCCGGGCCTGGGCCAAAGAGTGGTGCAGCTCATTGCCCAAACTGGGGTAAGGAGTTGAGGCCTGGGGGCTGCAGAAAGGGCCGAGGGACACATAGGAAACAGGGATGAGCGACMGCCTCGAGGGATGGAGACTGGGAAGAAACCTGGGAGAGTTTGGGTGGGAGGACCCCCCAAGCAAAGCGGGTGTGGGGCGGGGCTGCGCTTCAACCTGAGAGATGGTGGTCCCTCTGAGCGACCCCCGAGGAGGGAGAGGGTGCGCTCCAGGGCGAGGGGGGGCAGTGTGAGCTGTGGCAGAGGAGGGGAGGGCGGGGGTGATGCAGCGGTGGAGGCGGCTCCGGCTCGGCGCCCAGCCACTGACCGCCCCCTCCCTGTCCTCCCCTCCCCCTCTCCCCGCCTCTCTCCGGCTCCGGGTCCGCCACGCCGGACCCGCTCTCCTCGCGCGGCGCTGGGTCGGACGCCAGGTCTGCGCGCCACGGCTGAGCGCCCACTCGCCTTGCGGAGAGAGTCGCGGAGAAACCAGCGGGGGCGGCGGCAGAACTGGGCGAGGGCTGGAGGAGGTGGCAGTCGGAGCTGAACCAGGAGACCCGGAGGCAGAAGCTCTTGGCTCTGAGGCGCGCACTCGCTTGGCCAGGGATGGGTACTGGCGCAGCCCGGCCCCTGCCCGGCCAGCCGGGCAGMGACTGAATCGCACATCCCCAATATCCTGTGGACCTCTGACAGAGAGAAACACTGACAGATCGCCAGTAGCCTTCCGGCGGCGGGACCTCACCTCCTGCCCACCCCGCGCAGCGCCCCCAGCCGCAGCAGCGCTGGGCAAGCCGGCAAGGGAGAGGGGYTGATTGGCGGCCGCCGGCGGCCAGGGGAGGGAGCGCCGTGCGGGGCCATGGCAGGCTCCGAGGCGTCCTAGCCCAAGCCGGAGCCGAGCTCACGCTGCTGCTACCGCTGCCTCTCCGCGCCCGGTCCCCGCCGCCGCCGCGCCCCCTGCGGGAGATGGAACAGCGGAACCGGCTCGGTGCCCTCGGATACCTGCCGCCTTTGCTGCTGCACGCCCTGCTGCTCTTCGTGGCCAACGGTGAGCGCGGGAACTTCGCTGCCGCGGTGGGCTCGGGGAATTCTTTGCTGGGTCCACCGGAGCCAGCCTTCCCCGGCTGCCATGAAGGAGAAAGAGGAAGAAAAGGGGAAGCATTCACGGTCTCCAATAATCCCTGTGTGCAGTCCGGGCCCGGAGGGGTAGGGGGAGGAAAGCAGCGAAGGGTCGCGGCAGCCGCGGCGTCCGCGCGGGAGTCGTTCCGAGTCCGGCCGGGATCCGGCTACTGAGAGGAGGCCTGCGGGGAGCGAGAGTTAACGCACCCAGCCTGGCTCTGATGGTGCCGCCCAGAGCTGGCGAGAAGCGTGAACCTCCCCTGCCGTCCCACCGGATCTGGAGCGAAGCAGCCTGCGGCCGGCGGCCAGTCCCTGCTGCCGCCCTGCAGCTGCTGGACTGAACTTTGCTAGCGCCTCCGGCCGTGGGCCACGAAGTAACTGGGGGGTGGGGAGCCCAAGGCCAGTGAGCGAGCGGGGGAACCTACCGCCTTGCCTCGGGTTGCCCCAAGCCCCCGCCCTACAGCTGGTCACGCCTCTCTCTCCCCCCGCCCCCAGCTACATTCACCGAAGTCCCCAAAGATGTGACAGTACGGGAGGGAGACGACATCGAAATGCCCTGCGCGTTCCGGGCCAGCGGAGCCACATCGTATTCGCTGGAAATTCAGTGGTGGTATCTCAAAGAGCCTCCCCGGGAGCTGCTACACGAGCTGGCGCTGAGCGTGCCAGGCTCCCGGAGCAAGGTACCCCGCCACCCACGCGTCAATGGAGCTCCTGGGTCTCAGGGCTAGGGCAGCGGAGAGTTAACCCCTGGAAGAAGGCAACAGGGTTCATGGACTCAGTGTGCCGCCCTGTCACGCAACCCATCTCCCACCCTCGGCATCCCACTGCATCTTCGAAGTCAACAGTTAACTCAAAACCCTATCAATTCTTTTGATAATTTCCCTTTTCCTGCAACCTCCTGGAATTCTATTCCCTCCCAGCCCCTAAGAAGCCACGCCTGGTCCAGTTGGCCTGCTCTTCTTGATGAGGGTAGAGCATTTGATAGGTGCTGGCTGGTGAAGGAAGACCACTATGGTTCCACCAGGCTCTCCCTGCCCTCTGCCACTCCGAGGTCCCCAGGGCACAGGGCCAATGAGTTAAGCTCCTCCGGGCTGCGTTCCAGAGGCCAACAGAAAACCGTATTTGGGGAAGCCAGCAGGTCACCTCTAGAGCCTCCACAGGATCAGAGGGATTGCCTTCCTGTGGCTGCAATCCGACTCAGGCTGCCCTTCTGCCTCATAACCCACTCTCTTAAAAGCGCTCCAACATACACACACACACACACACACACACACACACCCCTTACACACATACCTGCATTCTCCCCAGGTTCCCTCCCAAAGTTATTCATGTCTCTCACTGGGTCCTGTCCAGACAGCCCGGCCAGCCCCTCCATTGAATTTTTCACGGTTCCAAATTAAGAGAGAAGGGAATGAGGATGCTCCGGAGGAGGGACATGGGCCTTCCTAGCAATGCATTCTCCCCTCTTCAGCCGGCAGGTGTGTGCTARGACAGCCACTCCTTGACAGGCACCATGTTAGCTCTAAACCCAGCTTTCTTCCAGTCAAACTGCCGGAAATTCCGACGTCCTCCATGCCCTCAACCCTCGCCATACCCCAGGCAGTTTCGGGTCGCAGCCTGAGCGTGGAAGGTCCCTCGGMCAAAGGCAGATCTGAGTTTCCCGAGCCTGAATGCCAACAGCCTAATGTGTCTCTCCCTTTGCATTTTAGGTAACAAATAAGGATGCAACTAAAATCAGCGTAAGTGTGGAGCCCAGCATGGGCCGCGGGAGACCCCTTCTGGCCGCTTCGGGCCCCRCAGCTCCCTCCCCTTTAGAAAGTCTAGGCAGCCGCTCTGTGTACAGCCGCACTCGCAGCTTTGCATTGTCGGCCGCTTGGCGTGTCTGGGCGCCATCTGTCGCTGGTAGCAGGATCGGTTCTCTTTTGTGTAAATCAAGGGTCCAAGGCCTGAGTCTCCCAAGTCGGCTAGGCTCTCACCTGTAAAACTCTCCTTCCTCCGGACCGCGCGCTTAGGCCTCTTGGGCCTCTGCTGGCTTTTCTTCTACTGTCATTTCTCCCAACACCGCGACCCCGCGGCTGCCTGCCCTCGCCGAGACCAGTGCTCCTTTTCCCACCCCTCTCTGCTCCGCCCAGCACACAGGCCCCGCGGCCCGGCAGCGCCCGCCGCTGCAGCCCTGCCCTCCGCCTGAGCGAAGTATTGTTGGGGGCGGGGTGACCGGTATTCTTGCCCAGCTGCGCGGGGTCGGGGTCCTGGGGTTCGTAAAGCTGGGAGAAGCGCCCGAGCTTCCGCAGTCGGAGCGTGGAAGTAGCTGGGCCTGAAGACAGCGAGAGCCTCCCCGTGGGCTCGGTTCAGAGGTGAGGGTTCCCTGGGTGTTTGGTGAGTGCCTCTGAGCGGTTCCTTCCCGACGASTCCACCAGGCAGCAGGGAGGAGCGCTTTGTCGCCAGCTTCAGGCGCCCTCGCGGAAAGGCGGGTTCGTACCTGGAGTCCAGAGAGTCAGGCAGTAGCCTCAGTGTCTCCTACCTCCTTGGGAGAGCCAGGGTTAGCTGCGACGGGCGGGGATCACAGTAGGCAACGAGGCTTTCCCTAATACTCTACCCAGGCCCTCCCAACTCCAGATAAAAGGGAGCGTGAATGCGGGTCTGAGTAGTGGGCTAGACTTAAGGCAATGCCTCAGAGCTGATGCGGTTGGTCGGAGCACCTGCAGCAGTAAAGACGTGGACGGTTAGCGATCAGGAGACCCAGCCTTCTTTCTTGAAGGTGCAGGAGGAAGGAAGGAGAGAATGATTGCTATTCTGAAGTAAAAGCTAGGGGAAGACAAGGTGTGTGGGGACGGAGCAGGGGGTTCAAGAAGAGGAGTTGGGGACCTGGGAACCTGGTGACTCAATGGACATAGCAACAAGGCCCCCCAAACGGAGTTGGGAGCCCCATGCCACTGGGGAGATATGGATTGAAAGGAAAGCCAGACTCTGATGGTGGGCATTCCAGGGTCAAGGAAGTATTGGAAATATTGGGGTGCTCTGGCAAGGAGACTCGATGGCAGCACCAGTAAGAAGAGCAGGTTTGGGACTTCCCCAGACAGGCCTCTAACCCCACTCTTTTGCAGACCGTGCGTGTCCAGGGTAATGACATCTCGCACCGGCTTCGGCTCTCGGCAGTGCGACTGCAGGATGAGGGCGTATACGAGTGCCGCGTGTCAGACTACAGCGACGACGACACGCAGGAGCACAAGGCCCAGGCGCTGCTGCGCGTGCTCTCGCGCTTCGCACCGCCCAACATGCAGGCTGCTGAGGCCGTGTCCCATATCCAGAGCAGCGGCCCACGCCGCCACGGATCCCCCAGCGCCGCCAACACCAACAACGCGGGCGCCACGGGCCGCACCACTTCTGAACCTGGCCGAGGCGACAAGAGCTCACCACCCGGGAGTCCCCCTGCAGTTCCTGGACCCGGAGTTCCAGAATCCGCTGCCGCCTCCGCAGCCCACACAGCCACCACTACCGTCGCATCTGCTGCCGCTGCTTCGTCAGCGTCGCCACCACTGGGCCAGGCTGTCCTTCTGCGCCAGAGGCATGGTTCCGGTAAGAAATCGCGTGGAGAGGGGACGCGCACACTGGAGGGGTGGGGTGTGAACGCCCCAGCGGGCTCAGTTGGAGTGGCCACCGCACCAGGATCATTTGCATGTGCTTACTGTGCCAAGCTAAGTTGCCCTGAGCTCAACTCCCTCCGCTGTTCTCTATCTTTACTGTTGGGCTTTTGGAGCTTTCACAATGTGTATTTATGAATGCGGGGGCTGCCCCGCCAGGACCAAGTCTGGAGTGTGGGGAGCCCTCTCGAATGTGGAGGACTGGGCCCAGAGAGTTACACTCCTGGAGAGGTGCGGGGGGGGGGGGGGGGTCAGCTTTACTCAGTGAGCACTAAGCATAGAGAGGAGCATTCCTCAGGTGGGATATTAATACCCTGATGCAGAGTGGGAGGCAGTCAGTTAAAATTTAGGACCTGTTCCTTTTTATGCAGGTTGGATTGATTGGACAAACACATATTGTCTTAGTGTGGACCCGCCTGTGTAACCTCCATTCTCTTTGGCTAAGGGCAAGATGGGTGTAGGCATCAGATCTGCACCCTGCTGGAAATTTTGCCTCTTGTTCCCGTTGGGTCCTTGGTGTGGGGGAGAGTGTGTTAAGGATCAAGCTCTTCCTCATTATTAGAAAGAGGCCCAGAAGTTAAGGACTGCTTTCCTAGAGCTGAGAAACTGAAAAGGACAGGATTCAGAGAAGTGGGTGTTGGAGAACAGGACAGGAAAATGAACTGAAGGTCATGACAGGCAAGTCCTGGAAGGGCTGATTAGCAGTAGAGTGGGCAGAAAGGCCAAGTGCCCAGTGTGCTCCTTCCCCCAAGGCACTCCCCACTCCCTCCCCCTACTCAAAGGTGGGCCTCAGAGATGGGCTTAACTCTGATTTTAAATAAGTCACTCCCTGTCTGAATTCTACCCCTCAGTCTTATATGATGCTGAGGGCTTCTCTACTAGAATTAAAGCATTGTGAGGCTGGGACAGTCACATGTAAAAAAAAAAAAACCTTCCAGGTGTGCTCCATGTAAAACACTTCCAGGTGTGATGGAGCACATGTCCCTACCATGGCAGTTCTCAAAGTGAGTTCCACTACTGCCAGCTAAGGATGAAGGCTCCTGGACCATGCTGCTGAATCCAAGGTGACAGGCCTCATATCACCATATTATTCTACTTCCTTGATTGATTGTTAAACCCTTGAACAGTTAGGAGCTGCTGGTCCATCTTACAAATAAATTCTGTTTCTTGCTTAGCTATTCCCACATGGGAGCTTCCACTGTGTCTCACGCTGTTGCCTGAATCTGGAGGCCCATCCCTCTTAGTTCCACAAAGAGACCCACAAGACTTTCCCCAGGCTATGGGGAAGGTGGGTCAGCTGGAACCTCTCCCAAAAGACTCCAAGTTCTCCTACCTGGCTTGGAACTTTCTACCCCTGTATTAATTTAAGATAAATTTGGTGCTGATATAAACCACAAAATGAAAGGGGCTTGATAAATTTCAAATATATTATTTCTTGTTCACATCAAGTCCTGCCCCCTGGAATGAGGAGTATGATAGCTCTATTCCATGCAGTATTTAGGGACCCAAACAGACATAGACTTTCCCATCTTCAGCAAGTGGTTCCCCAAGTCACTCAGGATTGACATGTGGCTAACAGATGAGGGGAGAGAAATGGAAGCAGCCCATCTCAAACCAGTTCGAAGGTAACGGAGCTCTAGGCTTTAAGTCACACTGTATGTAGTGAATCAACTTCTTTCCTAAGCTTTTAGAATTGCCCAAAGGATGTATCACTCTTGAGAAATCAAGAAAGCAGACACTCAAACCATTTTGTAGTGCTTAATTCTCTCAGAGAAAAGCTGATGTAGAAAATAGCAAGGTGGGTGTTTAAGGACCAGGCTTAGATGTGGTAAATAATACTTCTTCCTTCATCCAATAACCATCACATGGTCCAGTGTAGATGTTGGAAAATGTAGTTGATGGCTTGGCAACTGCTTTTCAACCTCATCTCTTCACAGGGGAAGGGAAACATGAATCTAGGGAAATTAACCATCTTTATGTTGTGCACATTACATGTTGGAAAAGTGTTTATTGACTTATACAGTGCTTTAATTGATACTTATTGATAAAAAGACTCTTCTCCCTATCATCTCAGGCCCAGCAAGTAAACATTTGTGTCACAAGCTGAAACCTCGGTAACCTCTGGGTTGTTCCCCAGACCGTTAATACAGTAGCAAAGCAAAGGATTTGAAAGGCAAAAGCCTAGATCTGAGTTGTGCTTCTACCACTTCTTGACTGTATGACTTTAAGCAAGTGGTTTAACACCTCTGAGTCATCTATAAAAATGGAGAGGGTGATCCCTGACCACAGAAGAAGTTTGGTATGGACATTGCTGCAAAGATATGTTTATTATTATCACTATGGTCATTAGCTGCTCTGTAAGAGAGGAGAGGATAGAAGAAATAAAACTAAGTACTTGGTAGTTGGAGGCCAAGCTAAAAAGGGCTTTAAAAGTCAAGTGGAATCAAGTGAAGGATTTGGTCAAGGAAGTGCCAAATGAAAGAGATCTATGAGAGTGAACTCAGTCACACCCACAAGATGGGAAAGAGGTGAAGGTCATGAGCTCATTTCTATTAGAATCTCCATTTTCTCCTGGCCAGAGTCTGATGCTTGAGCCCAAGACCCATCTGACAGCCTGTCATAGCCATTCAGATCTCTAATCTGTCCTGGCCACAGGGCCTGAATAAGGGAGTGGGAATGTTCTAGGGCCTTTCATCCCACAGCAGAAAACACATCCATGGAAGGTGGGATGGAGAGCACCCTTCTTCCTAGAAGATATGGGGTCATTGCATCAGCTCAATTCTGATGGTTCAGTGCCCAGGAGTTGGGGCCTTGGGGATCTGCCAGCCACAGAACAATATAGTAATGCTTATGTAGGTCAGGGCAGCAGCCCAGGCTGAGGGCTTCTATCTGTGTTTCCTGGGGTCCGGTGCAGGGTTCACTGCCATCCAGAAAGTATAGCCAGCTGGGCTCCCAGCAGGACATTACCACTGGGATAAGTTATGGTGGCCCCGAGATCTCTGTCACCTAATCAATAACCCTTGGAGGAGTCAGGTAGACATATCTCGGAAAGAACCCTGAGTTCCTCCCCAGCTCTCCTAGAAGGTGTATCTTCATCTTCAAGGTCAGAACAGTTGTGTCCCTTACTCCTTGTGAAGTTCTAAGAATGTTATTTTGCTGTAGACACCTCTGTGTATCATCTGAGCATGGAAAAGTGAGTTATATGACCTGTAGTCCACAAACACACCTCATCAGCCTTGTCCCAAGGAAGGAACCATGCCAGTTTTGTTTTTGTTGTTGTTGTTTGTTTGTTTGTGTGGTGCTGAGGATCGAACCAGTGCTTCGCCCATGCTAGGCAAGCACTCTACCACTGAGCTACAACCTCTACCACTGAGCTACAACCTCTACCACTGAGCTACAACCTCTACCACTGAGCTACAACCTCAGCCCTCATGCCAGTTTGTGTCCCATCTTGCCCCTGCCACCCAAAGCCACCTAGGCTATGGTCTTCCATGTGGATGACAGTAAAAGCTTCAGACGAATTCTTTCTATTTTTAAGATTGACTTTTTATTGCAGTAAGATACACAAACATGAAGTTTACCACTTTAGTCTTTTGTAGATGTTCAGTTCAGTGGTGGTGTGTGCATTCATAGTGTGCAGCCATCACCACATTCCATTTCCAGAACCCTCTTCATCTTCACCAACTGAATCATCATACCCACATAACAATAACTCGCCATTCTCTTTCCCACTTCCAACCATGAGAATTGCTATTCTACCTTACGCAGGTATTAATAAACCTTCCCAAAGAACTGCCTCATTGAGCAGTGCCCTGAGCTTGACCACCGGTGCCAGGTCCTGCTGAGCCTCCCTGGGAGGTGGCCAGCCAGATAGATGATGGCTCAGCAACATGAGCCAGAGAAGGAGCTCAAGGAGGGTGTCCCCAGGCCTGGCCTATCCAGCTCAAGTTCTCAGCAGCTTTGTGGGGAAAAGTCCAGAAAGGACTGTTAGCTCCTGGTTAGCAGGCAAGAGTGTTTGCAGAGTATTTATCAGGCAAATGCTGGCAGTCGCAGATGGCACATTCACGAAGTCACCAAGGGGAGTTGATAAGGAGTGTTTACAAAGTTGTGAATGGGATTCAGGACCCCTAACAGAGGATGTCTGCAGGTCCTTAAGGCTAACAGCAATGGGGGTCATTAGCATCCCTAGGCTGAAAGAGCAGGGGAAAGGAGCACATAGCAGAAGTCAGGGAGGATAGCCAGATGGACAGGGCTGCCTGACAGGAGTCTGACATCAGGGAAGGGATGCAGCCAACCCACAGTGACCCAGCAAGGACTTCACTCTCCTTCTGGCCTCCAGTTTCCTCTGAGGGCCTCCAATTGACCAAACCCTCCTAGAAGCCAAGGTCAAAGGAAAGGCACCAGGGTGAAACAGTCTATAGAGGTCGGCCCCAGAATGCATAAGGATGAGAGGAGGATTTGGGAGACTAAAAAGGTCCATCCCCGGCCCTGGTTGAATGGACACTGGCTGGTTCCCATTGGTGACTTTAGGAGTGTTCCCAGTCCACTTCTGTAGTCAGTCCCCATTAAGCAGTTACTTCCAGAAGGACAACAGAAAGAGGTCTCTGTTTTGTTAAGTGAACTACTTTGGTAATACCAGGAAAAAGAAAGAGGGGACTCACTCAAATCTTCATCCTTTAGCTACTACACAGTCAGGCAAGAAAACCCTTCCCATGCCCATGTACGCCTAGCACAGCCAATACACATTTGCACTAAAAATTTATGTGCAAAACTCATTCATTTCATATCTCATTTGTCAGGAGACATTTTGGTATTTGTGCTTAAAAATAAACACGGACTGAATTAGAAAAGCAGAGCAGGCATAGAAGGCTGGGCCCCTTCTTAGCCATGTTCATAAATCTGGCTCCTAATTAATCTGAACATTTGTCATGAAAA